TTTTGTGAAGGTAATGGATGTGAAAGTGCATGGTCAATCATAAAGTAGTATGCAATAATATTTATTATAATTACTATTGATTGATAAGATGACAATAAGGATCCAAGAGGGAGGACTGGAAGAAAGGAGGACTAAAGTCTATAAAAGTGAAACATAGAGACCAAGAAAAGAGAAATGTAGAGGGAAACACAGATTTAAGCAGGGAGTAGATGGAGAGCTGGTACCTTCAGCACTTTCTGAACTTTTTCAGCCACTTGTTCCATGGTGGTCAGAGTTGACTCATTGTAGAGTCACTGGAGGCAACAGGTGGGCATCAGTAGCCAAGGAAAGGACAGTGGATTGGGGGTGGAGTGGAGAGGCTCTCAGGGTTTCAAAAATAAGGAACCATGGCCTGAGAGGGCAGAGGCTGAGGTGGGGTTGGAGTTGGTGTCTTTATTTGCAGTGTCCAGGGGATGGGTCTCGGTCACATGGTATGTGGGCTATGACTTGCCCCCCCTCCTGGAAGATCTCAGCATCACATTGCCCCAGCAATTGAACAATTTGCACAGCATCAGCTTTGTTCATATCCTGGGTCAATGGTTTCACTTCGCTGTGATTGGCAGGGCTGCCTCATACCCAGACAAGGAGAGGGAAGCGGGGACAAGGATAAGGGCAGGGAGCCAAAGCTTCATTCACGCCTGCTGAACTAGAGGTGGGAGTGGCTGCAGGCACAGTGTTGAGACAAACATACACACATGCGCACACACACTCACACACGCACACAGCATTTAGCTTGCAGTTGGTACTCTGGGCCTATCCACGAAAGAAAATCAGGAAGGAAGATAGGAAGGAGGGCAGGAACAGCAGAAACTCAGGGGGAAGGGAAGCCTAGAACAGACAGGATTCTAGGAATCAGCACAGAAGGCCAACATGGAGAAAGTGTCTCACCTCCCACTTGCCAGGCTCCGGGGTCTTAGTCACAAGTTGAAACTGTTTTGTGCCTGGCATGGTCTGATGCTGTGGACACACGGTCTTGCGTGTCTTTTCAGCCACACAACCCCTTGTGTCACACTGACTGTGCTTCCAGTTGGCAGGGCCTTACCTGAGGCACAGTCAGTTAAGTCACTCAGTGGAGTCCAGCTCTTTGCGATCGCATGGACTGCAGCATGCCAGGCTTCCCTGTCCATCACCAACTCCCGGAGCTTGCTCAAACTCAGGTCCATTGAGTCGGTGATGCCATCTGACCATCACATCAGGCACAGTGTTAATGAAGCACAGTGATGATTAACCCAAGTACCCTGGCCTCTCTGAGCACCACCCACTCTGAACACCTCTGCCTGCACCCTTTCCTGATCACTAGGCCCCCAGCCCTCTGGTCACCCCCAGGGACCTCTCCAGGTCCCTCTCTAGATGCATCCAGAGTCCCCAGCCTCTGCTTTGCTCCTGAAGAGGAAGACCCAAGGTTCATTACTCTTGCCCTTCCGACAATGGCCTCTTCTCTGGGAGGGCCTGGAGCCTGGAAGGACAATACTCAGGCCCAGGGCAGACATAATCCCTGGGCATGAGTGCTCCAGAACTAGGATGCATCAGGAAGCCAGAGATCAGGGTCCTCAGGGTCAGCAAAGGTCAGAAGACCAGGTCACACAGTCTTCCCTGATCACACAGTCCTCCCTGCCCCACATACCCCATTTCACTCTCCTCTCAGAAGGAAGGCAACAGAAGCTTCAGAGCCCCAGGGGTGCACACACTGAACTGGATATTACAGGGGAAAGGGCCACAGAAATAGAAATACTGCAGTGAGACTTAGAAACCAAAGTATCTGCCCTATATACAAGTTTAGCCAACATTTATTTACACTGAACAATGTACTTTTCACATACAGCATCTCCTTTGATACATTAGAAGATGATATTAAAAAGAATGAAATAATGCCATTTGCATCTAGAGATTATCTTACTAAGTGAAGTAAGTGAAGTAAGTGAGACAAAGACAGATATCATTAGATATCACTTATATGTGGAATCTAAAAAGAAAATGATACAAATGAACTTACAAAATGGAGAAAGACTCACAGATATAGAAAACAAATTTATGGTTACCAAAGGGTAAAGGAGGGGAGGGGCAAATTAGGAGTTTGGGATTAACAGACACATACTACTGTGTATTAAAATAGATTAACAATAAAGACCTACTATATAGCACAGGGAACTATATTCAATATTTTGTGATAACCTAGAAAGGAATATATATTAATGTGACACACACAGTAATGTGATACACACAGTGAAGTTGCTCAGTCATGTGCGACTCTTTGTGACCCCATGGACTGTAGGCTGTCAGGCTCCTCTCTCCATGGAATTTTCCAGGCAAGAGTACTGGAGTGGGTTGCGTTTCCTTCCTGGCAACCCACTCCAATATTCTTGCTTGGGACAATTCCATGGAGAGAGGAGCCTGACAGCCTACAGTCCACAGGATCACAAAGAGTCGGATATGACTGGACTGAGTGACTGAGCACACTGGCACATATACATATGAATCACTTTGTTGTACACCTGAAACTAACACATTGTAAGTCAACTATAATTCAATTTTTTAAAAATGATGATTTTATTATATTTCAAGGCTGTATATTGTCACCCTGCTTATTTAAATTATATGCAAGTACATCATGTGAAATGCTGGGCTGGATGAAGCACAAGCTGGAATCAAGATTGCTGGGAGAAATATCAATAACCTCAGATATGCAGACATCACCACCCTCATGGCAGAAAGTGAAGAACTAATGAGCCTCTTGACAAAGGTGAAAGAGGAGAGTGAAAAAGTTGGCTTAAACTCAACATTCAGAAAACTAAGATCATGGTGTCTGGTCCCATCACTTCATGGCAGATAGATGAGGAAACAGTGACAGACTTTATTTTTAGGGGCTCCAATATCACTGCAGATGATGACTGCAGCTATGAAATCAAGAAACACTTGCTCTTTGAAAGAAAAGCTATGACCAACCTAGACAGCATATTAAAAAGCAGAGACATTACTTTGCCAACAAAGGTCCATCCAGTCAAAGCTATGGATTTTCCAGTAGTCATGTATAGATGTGACAGTTGAACTATAAAGAAAGCTGAGCACCAAAGAATTGATGCTTTTGAACTGTGGTATTGGAGAAGACTCTTGAGAGTTCCTTGGACTTTGAGGAGATCCAACCAGTCCATCCTAAAGGAAATCAGGCCTGAATATTCATTGAAAAACTGTTGGAGCTGAAACTCCAATACTTTGGCCACCAGATGCAAAGAACTGACTCATTGGAAAAGACCCTGCTACTGGGAAAGATTGAAGGCACTGGAGAAGGGGATGACAGAGGATGAGATGGGTGGATGGCATCACCGGCTAGACAGACAGGAGTTTCAGCAAGCTCCAGGAGTTGGTGATGGACAGGGAAGCCTGGCGTGCTGCAGTCCATGGGGTTGAAAAGGGTAGGATACGACTCAGCAATTGAACTGAACTGATAATTCAATTTTTTAAAAAGGTGATATTGACACGCTCATTTTTCAGATGATGAAACTGAAGCTCAGAGAGGTTAAGTTAGTTGCTAAAGATTACACAGCTGAGAGAACTGGGACTCACACCCAGGTTTTCACTCCAGGCCTCATGCTCAACCAAAGCATGAAATAACTTAAGGATTTACATGTTTATTGAATAAATGAAGTAACTAACAAACTGGTGCAAATTAAGAATAATCTCTCTTCACAGTGTTATGAGATTTTTAAAGATCGTTCCCCAAAATTGTGTCATTTGGTCCTCACAGCAGCCCTGTGAGGTTTTGCATGCTCTGATTTACAGGTGGGAAACCTGAAACTTAGATTAACCTATTTGCCTAAGGCCACACAGTAAGTCACAGAGCTGAGACAGGTCGTCACTCTTTAAATTTCCCCTATAAACCCAGAACCCTTAATAATCGCTGTATCTCCAGTTATTAACATGCCAGACACATAGAGAAAGCTCTATAAATATTTGCCTAATAAGTGGAAGAATGAATGAGAGAAGGAAGGGAATGAATATCAGATCATGAATGGGGAACAGAGTTAAAAGCTGACGCAGTCTACAAGTAGGAGACTGTCAAAATAATTATTATCTCCATGACTCTGTCCCCTCGCGCACCGGAGGTGGAATTCCTCTTCCCAACTTGGCTAATTCCATCTGGGGAGGAGGGGCCTCCCAGATCCCGAGACCCTCGCACCTGCGCCTCTCCGGACGTCCCCTCCCCCCACCCCCCTGCGGGGGCTCAGCAGACAGGAGCCGGGATCAGGAGGGATGGGGGGCCCTGGAGGCCGCCAATGAGAGGGTCGTGGGAGGAGCCCCGAAAGAACCGGGTTGGGGGGGCGGTGATGACGGCGGCGAGAACCCCAGCGGGGCGGGGCGGGCCCGCACGTCCCGGCCGGGCTGCGGCTGAGCGACCGAGGCCAGCTCTGCAGAAGGCGGCGGCTGGCGCGCCGGGACGGTCACATCGCGCTGCAGGGGCCGGCGGGGGCAGCCGCACTGCCTCGCGCCCCGGGGACCCAGGCCAGCCGCCGGGCCGCGCGGGCACCGCCCCCTGCTCCTGAACAGACTGCGCGGCCGGTCCGAGCTCTGGGGGCTCCGGGGCCCCGCGGCCCGCACCCGCTACGCCTCCACTCTCTGCCCGCAGCTCGGTCCCGCGCTGCCCGCCTGGCCGGGCCCGCGCCGGGATGGGGTAGGGACAGCGCCACGGAGTCGGCGATGGGCCGCCCCCTGGGCACCGAGCAGCCCCCCGAGGCCTGACCCACCGCGAGGACCGGTGGAGGTGGGTGTGGGCAGAGCAGAGGCGCGAACTGAGGGCGCGGGGTGCTGCGGGGGTGGGCAAGGCAAGGGGAAAGGGGGGTTCTGGGGCTGCTGTGGGCTGTGGGAAGCAGAGAGAGCGGCTGCCTGCTTGTGCTTTCTGGCAAGTCCTTGACCCCCCCCTCCCCAACTCCTGCCACCTCCAGGAGCCCCGCCTGGATGTCAAACGGATGCCCCGGTGCCTCCCAGCGGACTCGGTGGGGACCATGGCTTCGCTAATGCCCCTCTCTCCATATCTAAGCCCCACAGTCCTTCTGCTGGTCAGTTGTGACCTGGGCTTTGTGCGAGCAGGTGAGTAAAAGGGGAGCGGGTGAAGAGTCACCAGAGCTAGTCTGGGGGTGGACCCTGGTAACCTGTTCACACACTGGCCCCCGCAGACCGGCCTCCGTCTCCTGTGAATGTGACAGTCACTCACCTCAGAGCCAACTCGGCCACTGTGTCCTGGGACGTCCCAGAAGGCAACATCGTCATTGGCTACTCCATTTCCCAGCAAGTATGAATCACCCTTCTGCTGCCCCAACCTGTGTCCTTGGATCTCTGAACATTCCCTCTGGTAGCCGCCCCCCACCCCCACTAGCTCCCTTCCCTGCCCTGGGAGACAGGGAGCTGGGGTTCCCTGGCTCAAGCTACCCTTTCCACCCCAGTCCTCTGGCGTGCTTGGGTGTTCAAGAATCCTGGGCTAAGCCTTGTGGCCTGGGACCAGGGTGAGGCTGTCTTCCTCTCTCATCATCTCCCTGCAGCGACAGAATGGCCCTGGGCAACGTGTGATCCGAGAGGTGAACACCACGACTCGGGCCTGTGCTCTCTGGGGCCTGGCTGAAGACAGTGACTACACAGTGCAGGTCAGGAGCATTGGCCTCCGGGGAGAAAGCCCCCCAGGGCCGCGGGTGCACTTCCGAACTCTCAAGGGGTCTGACCGGCTACCCTCCAACAGCTCAAGCCCAGGTGAGAGTCTCGATTATTCTGCAACCCCTAAAGCTTTGGATTCTCTGTTTACCTGGTCTTTGGCCTCCTGTTTACTTCCTGAAAGCAAGCAGCAGTCTAGCTTAGATGAGTAGAAGGATGATATAATTCATTGTACTGCCAGGAAAGGAAGGAAAGCAGGTTGGCAGGAGACTGAGTATAGACAGGCTGGTAAGGAATTGTTTGGGGGGAAGGGCTTTAAAGCTTCCTTTTACCCAGCCTCAGTTCATAGCAGCTGCAGCCTGCATGAGTGGGCACCTGACCTGCAGCCCTCCTGCTGTTTGGTCTCTAACCACCTGTCCACCAATAGCTTCCCAGAGAGGGGCTACCAGCAACAGTGCTGAGACAGGTCTACACTGGCTTTAGTCCCCAGCATCTCCATCCTGAACTGTCTGCACAGGCATAGCTCTCTAGTTGCTCCCCAGAACCTGGGGTCTGTCTTCTTTTCCTTCTCAGGTGACATCACAGTGGAGGGTCTGGATGGAGAGCGACCACTGCAGACGGGGGAGGTGGTCATCATTGTGGTGGTGTTGCTCATGTGGGCTGGTGAGTAAGCAGCTGGACAGGGGACCGTGGATTGAGTAGGGCTGAGTGAAGGTAGGAGTTGGTGAAGGTTGTTGGGAGAAAACAGGGTGAGAGCAATGGTGTGGGGAGATGTTCAGTTGTAGGAGATAAGAAGGAAAAGTTTGAAGAAAGGGAAAGGAGGCTGTTGGGAGCCCAGAGAGGATGATGAAGAATGTAATGTGCATGGGAAACAGGAATTCAAAGAGCTGCTTCTTTGATTTTCTAGAGACAGCAGGTATCTCACTGCCCTTCAGGGCTATAGTGGGGAGGTCAGGATCAAGGCTCAGATTGTATGATTGTGTTTCAGCTGTAATCGGGCTATTCTGCCGTCAGTATGACATCATCAAGGACAATGACTCCAACAACAACCCCAAGGAGAAGGGGAAGGGACCGGAACAGAGTCCTCAGGGAAGGCCAGTGGGGACAAGACAGGTAATGTGGGGCCAGTGAGGGCAGGAAGGTGGGGGGGGGGGTGCGCAGCTTGTGTCTAGAAGCAGCAAGGGAAAGGGAGAAGGGTCACAGAGGGGCAGGAGAAGAGGGAGAATGGAAATTTGGGATGGAGGAAACTATCACTTTCCTGAAATTAGAGACTCAGGCCATCTTCTTTCACAGAAAAAGTCACCATCCATCAATACTATTGACGTATGAGTGAAGAAGCAGAACCAGAAGACGGATGCCCTAATAATATGGGGCTGGGGCTGGGGTCAGGGAGAGCCCAAGATGGTGATCTGCCCAAGACTGAAGGATCCCACAGTCTCCCAAAGGGTAATGGCACTCCCACAATCTCAGGCCTGGTATCCATCCTCTTTCCACTGTGAGCAGGGCCAGAAGGTAGGTCTGTTAGGCTCTGAGCCCCTGGACCTGGGGAGTGGATATCAGATGGGATATATCCTTCCACCCCCCAGGTCCAGAAGAGGGTCACTTGTTCAACCCTATCCCATTAGGTCCCAAATGGGGCCCCCATTTCACCTGCATCAGGACCCTTGGCATCCCCCGCTGCCCCCACATCTTGCCTCCGGGTCTCAGAGAGCAGTATTACTGTGGGTACTCCCCCTCCCCCAGAAAATAAAAGGAACTGTCTGGGTCTGGAGGCAGACGCTGCACTGCACTACTCCAACGTCTTCCATGGAGCCTCAGGTGCTCCCCCTCTCACAGGCAGCCCCTCCAGCTGCTGGTGGTCTCACCCCTTGGACATTTTTCCAATAAAGGTTCTTGGACAAACTGCAGCTGACTGTATGCAATACTGTCTAGTATGCTGAAGACACTTCTCCACTGCCTCTCCCCTGACCACAAAGGCCTCTCACATCACCACTACCAACTTGACAGGAGCAGACTCTTATTTGAAGGTGTTTGCTTTGATTCTTCATCTAGAATGGGTGGAGAGGGGCCAGAAAGGAGCATAGAAAACTAGGGCCCTTGATTCTTTTGTTTGGTAAAAAGGAGGAGCAGGGGGAAAAAATGGAGGATATAAATTCTTTGTGCACCAGTGGAAAATAAAGTTATGTTACATGAGAGGGCCAGGAGCCTTTTTATCTTCACTGCCCACATTGGCAGCCCAACTTTTCATCATTTATTCCACTGACTTCATCAACCCTGAGCTAGTGATCAGTAAAGGATTGAACAGGGTTTTGGAACAAATGAAAGATTAATGGATCCCTGGGAGGGGCAAGTGTTCCTCTCCTGTGCGTTTCTGTGCCTATTCTTCCCTGTCCTTGCTTTCCCTTTTGTCTGTCTGTATGTATCTGTGTTCATTCAGTCAAAGCCAATAATAATTATAAAGAATAAATGAGTTTACATTTACTTTCTGCCATTATATCCAGAGGAGCATTCTGGAAATAAAACTAGGGTTGGGACTCTCCTGTCAAAAGAATTATAATTTGGCCTCTGGGGCCTACTTGTTTCCTGTGTAAATAGGGACTGTCCTCCACTTTTCCCCAAGTTCCAAGGGGAGGTTGATGCCAGTGAAAGAAATACCTGTTGACATCTGTAACCACCAAGGGGGAAAGACTTCAGAACCCAGAATCTTTCTGGACAGCACAAGCTACACTGTCTGGAAGGTAACAGTTTTAGTGTGATCAGTCAATGTATGACCCTCCCAGTGGAGGCTTATGAATAACTTCCCTTTTCTGCATCTTGATCACTCTACTTTATTATAAGAAATTCCATCAATAACTCTGAAAGCGACCACAATCCAAACAAAGTCGAGAAGTATCTTTGATACTTATCCAAGCTCCAACCCCGGTTATCACAAGACTAAATTTGTTAGGTGAGCCAAGCGTTGGTCTGCCCTCTGCCCTAAACCATAAAAGCATCCTGATCTAAGCAGCAGTCTTAAACCCACCGTTTTTCAGTTCAAAAGTAGGGTGCTTTACCTCCCTCTGACCACTGGTTCCAAAGCACATATTTCTCAGACTCTGGATACATCATTTCTGGGGATGAGAGTGTCACACTATATACAGTAGCATGGCACAGAGATAAAAAGCTAGACACTGAAGGAATCCAAGGGTGTAAAAACGTACCAGCTCTGGCTTGAATCCCAGTTGGTCCTTAACCCGCTGTATTAGGTTAGACAAGTGAGCCCTCTAATCTTGAGTCTCCTGTTATGTAAAGTGGGACTAATAATGCTATCCCCGTCAAAAGGTGGCTTTGAGATTCAGTGAGACATGTACAACACTTCGCACGGTACCTGGCAGACACATGCTGAGTATTCATTATCAGCCTTGTGATCCTGTACAAGTTATGTAACCTATTTGGGTTCAATTCTGTCAAGGCCTATAAGAGCAACTGCCCTGCTTTCCTCCACGGTTTGAGGATTAAAAGAAAGCGCTCAACCGCGTTTACGTACATCAAACACCGAGAGAGACTACGATTACGTAGGACCCCGGAGTGTGCGGAAGGCTTGTGGGCGTGGCTGGAGTTTGGGTTTGCATGCCGCGACGGGATTGGTCGAGGAGAGAATCCAGCAAACCCTCTCAGGGTCCCGCCCTAGATCTCAACGCGCCTGCGCGCGCTCTGTTTGCTAAGCTGCGAAACTGCGTGGTGACCTTGCGACGCGTGTCGCGCTCAGGTCGCTAGTGCGTCAGCGGCCGTCGCTGCGGCTGCGTGGCGGGTTGTCCAGGTAACCACGGGAGTTGTCGCTGTCTGTAGGCATCTGAGAAACAGGTGTTCGTCATGCAGTTGAAGCACCTGAGGACCCTGCTGAGCCCTCAGGTGAGGAGTCGCGTGCCTCTTCCCTCCCTCGCCAGCCTTAGTGTTCCACGGAAAGTGGGGGGTTGAAGTTTAAAAACGGTCAGCGCCTACTGTGTGCAGAAGACCGAAGCCTTTAGCGGTGATACGGAGTCTGCTCCGTCGATACAGTGTGAAGTAGGCGAGATGGGCTGTTGAGCACCATAGCTTTCATTTCATTTCATTTAACGGATCAGTTGTGTACCAGGTCCCATGCTGGGGCTCCAGGGGATCCAGAACTTCCTCAGTTGTTGCCTTTGCCTTCAAGAGGCTCCTACTAGAGAAAGAGGCGCGTGTGTAAACAACTAACAATAACCTACATCGCTTAAATGAGAGCTCAAGGTGCATGTCCCACCGAAGGGAGTGCAAGCGACCACACCGTTCGTTCTGATGGTGAAAATCTCAGATTCAGAAGAGGCTGGGCACTAGGGATGTAACCCTAGAACATGTTGAAGAAAGGCTGAGTTTTGGAGTTAGGAGACCAGAATTCAAGTCCTAGCGTCACCACTACTTTAAAATCAATGACCAGATACCCCTGACTTTAGCCTTCATCTCAGAGGCTCTTTGAGCACTCACCCAAACTTTTACATTTGGAAAATGGGAATAATAGTAATCACAGCTTTAGGGGATTAGGGGAAAGAGTTAAAGGCAGTAGAATACACAAGAGAACCTTGTAAACTAAAAAGCAGCGTGAAAACTGTTAGACAAGAGAGAAGATATTCAAAATTCAAAGGACAAAAAAAAAATTTCAAAGGACAAAATAATACAAAGCAAGAATATCTGTCATAACTGAATGTTTAATGTGTACCAGGGTGGCGTAAATAAAGGGGTTGTGGATTATAGAACCAGATACACGTGGAATTAAATCTTGATACTGCCACTTAAACTGTGTTTGTAAACTTGAGCAAATTACTTAGCCTTTCTGTGCCTCCATCTGGAAAAGATGCATAAGAGTAGCATCTACCTCAGTAATGAGATATAGTGAGATAGTGCATATCATACACTTAGCAAAGTGCCTAATCTGTAGTGCTCATTAAAACTTAGCTATTATCCTCTTCTCTACTCATTTAATCCTCACAACAGTCCTGTGAGGTACATATTGTAGAGAAAGGAGAATTGACTGATTATGGGAATCAGGAAGGCTTCACAGAGCATGTGACTTTAGGAAACTAAAACAAAAGAGAGGTGTACTCATTGCTTTGAATCTGTATTTTGAAAACTCCTTTACACTAATGGAATAATTGGAATAATTATAATTGGAATAATCTCCCTTCAATCTTTCAAAATAAGATGATGTCAGATGCAGGAAAGGACTGAGTGCCCAGGATGGGGCAAAATGATGAAGGAAGATGGTCAGCAACAATTGATGAGGAACCCTCTACACTCCTAACCTAATTTAGTCAAGAGTTGGAGAATGCTAAAGGTGGTGGGGTGACTATTTTCTGATTCTGGTTTGAGGATTTTGATGGGGAAAAAAGCCCCTTTTACCTCTGATGTTGAAAGTGGGTAGATTAGGAGTAAAATTAACAATGTTTTAAACCAGGGCTCTACAGCCTAAGTAGTTAATCAAACGGAGCAGAAACTAGATTTTTTTATTTCTAGGAGGGAAATCCTTAGTGCAGAACCTGCTGCATAGACCACCGGGGCTGGTGGTGGAAGGGACAGACATGGCAAGAATAATTCACCAGGAGTTAATCACTTCTAATCTGGACCTCTGTGAAGTGGATTGTTAAGGGAAGAAACAACAAAGACGTTTTTTGAATCCTAAGTCTCAACTGTGATGATTTTACTTCCCATTCCAGAACTTTTACTGTCTCTCCCTTTCCTCCCAAATAAGCCCAAACTCAGCCTGGCTTCAAAGAGCCTTCCTGAACTGGCCTCCATCTGTTTTTCCTGCCTTACCCCCTTTGTTCTGTTATTTACAATATAATGTCAGCTAAATTAAATGACTGTTTATTCACCAGAACTTGTCATCATGCCATTTCTTCTACCTCAGAGAATTTCCCTACTTAACTGTATCCATTCTTCAAAGCTTAGTGTTGATCATTTAAATGGAAAATTATCTCAGGCTTTTCAAAACTATTATAGTGCTTTGTATGTGCCTCCCTTATGGGACTTTTCCCATTTTTAGCTCTTTGGGCAAGGACCACATTTTGCTCTTTGTCTCTACGTCTCAGCCCTTGGCCAAGTGCCTTTTTCAGTATGGTACTCAAAAACATTAATTGAATTAATGGCTAAAGACCAAAACTTATCAGACCAGTTGCATTTATTTCAGTAGCAGAATGAAGGAATAAGAAGGCCACTGCAGGGACACACCGGTACTTACTGTGTCACCTCCTAGTGCATTTGCATTATGGTTTCTAGAAGCAGTTTGTTCTCACTATCCAGGGCTCTGAGGCTTCAGAGACCTGGATAGATCATGG